TTTTACATTGCTAAACAACTCTTGGGTGCTCAGAGGCTGAAGGAACGCGGAGGAACATCAGATTCATGTTCGTGAGCGGCGGAGACGGATCAACGTCAAGTGTTCACTGGAGATATTGAAGATCCACCAATTATCTATGGAGTTTGGGGGAGCTTTTCTATTTTCTTTTGTTCTTGATTTTGCCATGTCCGGCTAGTTCTTTAAGTAGTTAGGGTTAGATGGATTTTAGTCGATTTATTACGCTTTGAACAATTCGTACGTTAATTTTCCTTTTTATCATGAATGAAGTTATCTGTTTTTAATGTTTTATATAGGCTTGAATCTTATATAATGATCATCGGTGAATGCATGACAATAGGAATGTTGGTGTGTGATCCATATCTGATAACTTCATCGTAAACGTTATGATTCTAGGGATAGACATAGGGTTTGCGTAATCTTTAAGATTCTTGAATTTAATGCTTGCATGCTTGGGGAATAACCGGGGAACTAGGGTTCTTCCAATATTGTAAAGATTTTAGAGTAACAAGGGATTGAGCTCTAATAACATGCGAAAGAATTGATTAGATTGATACTAAGGACAATTAACATTAAGAAGGAATTCAAACGTAATAAGGAGATTAAATGAAATCGAACCCCTAGCTTCGTTTTTATTTTATTAGTTGAATCACATCTTTAATTTCTTGTCTTTAATTCTTGCAAGTAATTAGCTTAATATTTAATATTTTAATTTTGCAATTCAAATCCTGTTTCCAAATACACTTTCGATTGTCCAACTAAGTTTGCGATAGTGAATTAGTGCTTGAACCGTAATCCTCGTGGGAACGATCTCTTACTTAATCATATATTACTTGTACGATCGGTGCACTTGCCGTGAGTAGCAACACTCTATGCCAAGTAATTTTCTAATCCAATCCTATTTACTTTTTTAGTGTAGCATATTAAGTATTGGTAGTGTAGTTTAGTGTAGTATATGATATAAACAAACAGTAAAAAATAAAATTTCCCCGAAATAATAATATGAAAGTAACCCAACACCAATATGCCAGTATAAAAAAAATCAAAATAAAGCAAAAATCAAGAACATTAAGCTTAACGTGGGAAAAAGTGCTCAATGTGAGAGGTACAAAGAATTTTACAAGCAATAGACAAACATAGTCAATCTTCCACAATATCAAAAGGTCACTTACAAAGACCCAAAGACATCAACAAGATGAAAACATTAAAGAAGAGTTCAAAAACGTCTCCAAAAAAACAATCTGTGTTCACAAATTTTCTGCGAATTATGTAGAGCTTATATTGTAAATTTCACCGTCCACTTTAAAAAGCTACGAGTGACGAATCTCTAGAAAAAATTTCAGCTTAATGGGACGTCATTTAACTCTCCAATCGTCCATTTAATGAAAATCTCTCAATGCTAAAAAAAAGTTACAGTCCTCTCTTTTTCTTCGAGTTTTGTCAACTATTCTCTCTTAATTCTCTCACCCTTTTAACAACCCCAACAAAGATGAAAGTAAAGTTGGGCCTGAGCCTTAATAAGAGAGAACCAAGCCAACAAAAGGGTTCTTTCACTTATGCGTGTTCTTCGAGTATTTATGAGGTTACCAACAAAGAGTGGAAAAGTCTTGATTCCACTATGAGTTTGTTGTAGCTTACAAACCTAAATATCAGCCACCATCTCCAACAACTTAGTCCATCCAGTTATATGGTTGGCACAAATCAATCAAACATCGACTCTAATACAACTGTTATGTAGCGCCAGGGGAGCACAAAATATAAGAGACTTCCATCCATGCCTTAATGGCTCTAAGAGATAAAGCCACGTCTCAACCCAAAACGTTAAGGTGTTTGGTTTATTAGTCATTTCATTTAGTTCCATAATTTGCCCATTCTCATCTGATGAGGGACTTTACCACTCACACTTGAATTCTCAACAATCTCCCCATCAAGTGTAAGTCCTAAAACCATTTACTCCCTGTTAAGTGTAAGCTTCTTCGAGTATTCATGGGATTGCCAATCAAGAGTGGGCAAGTCTTGGTTCCGCAACATGGGTTTGTCACAACCTACAAACCTAAACACCAATCACCATCTCCAAATATTCAGCCTAATCAATTACACTTGGTTGCCACAAGCCAATTAACCATTAGCTCTACTATCATTGCTACACACAGCAGCTAGAGGAGCATAATATAAGGGAGATTATTATCCACGTATCAATGGACCTAAGCGATAAACCCACAACAAGTGAATCTAACATCACATCTCAATATAAAACCTTAAGGCGTTAGGTTTATGGGTCGTTTCATTTCGTAGAGAATGTTCTGAGTCAATATCAATAGATGACTAACTTGATTTCAATAAATAAGACCTATGCAATGACAACAAGACAATTCTGTACATCGTTCCTGCAATCTATTGGCCAGATTCAATGGAGTTACGACAGAACAGGCTTGGTCACCCCTCTGACTTATATGCTACTTGGATAGTAAGATAAAAACAAGTTTCATTTGTTTATTTGTTGGGACCAGAAATTTCCACTCTGCAATGAAGCTCAAAATATCACATGCGTCAAAAGAAGAACCCTGCATTTTGATTTGTTGTTCTTACAAGTAATTCCATATGTTATACATAATCCCCTTAAACAGGAAAATAGATAACGTTGTTTGAGCACAACATTTCAACACAACTAAGCCTATCAAAGAAGTTTATTGGTTGTTTTATGGCACAGAAGTACCGAGGGGGGAGGGGTGGAATCAAACGCACCCTTTTTAGTAAAATCATTCCATCCAATACCAAACAAGTTAATTGAATTAGGTCAAAGAGCCCACCTTTCCATCCAATTCATTTACTAACACTTTGAATATATGGGGTGAAGGAAAAGGAACAAACAGGTTTTCATTGTAGTCTTTGCTTTGCTTGATCATTAACTTTTTTTTGTCTCTTGTTTTTTTGAAAAATGAAGAAACGAGAAATCAAAGTGTTACAAATAACACCTTTTACTTCACTATTTTTTGTTGGTTCATCCCAAGATTCAAACACTAGGTCGTTTAGTCTTATTAAGCCCTTTAGCAGTTTCACAACCTGAACATCAATGAGTGCTACATGGACCGGCTAGTTGCTGTAACGTTAATTAGGTTCTCATCTAGCTGAATCTTCTCCTTTTGTTTGCAATGTTTAACCTAACGTAACTCACTCTTTAATTAAGTTCCCCTCTCCACAGTTCGAAAATGATTATTGGCCATCGTTTCTCATAAATCTAATTAAGGTCGTCAGAGAAGGAAATTTATTACTTGTTTAGTGGCCATCGTTTTTCACAAAATGGTTTTACTTATGGTTTGACTCTGTAAGATTAGAGTTGAAATTCCAAAATACTCTAGTCATTCCTTGGCCTCTCCATTCTTGCGGTTGAAAATTGATGACAAAAAGGAATTAATCAAATCAAGCTTGAAAAACAATAGACCACTGCCGTGTCCGCCATATTTTCCTCCATCAAATGAAGCTTCCAACATTGCTTTCTTCCCTTTTCTCTCTTTTTCTCTCTTTTTCATTCGGGGAAAGAACCAGTTAACATGTTTACCAGATATTACATATGGATTTAGTTTTAATTCAACGTTAATTAAAAGATTTTCACTCTATTACTTATTTATTTGTTACCTTTTAAAAAAAAAAAAAATTTGATTTGGTAATAATCAATCAAAAAAAGATAAATTTTGCACTTATTAAGGAATAACATGTTAAGTTTTGTTGTTTAAGAAACCAACTCTCCTGATCAAATTGTTGGCCTTTAAAACCTGTGATATAGCAAGATAGGAGATAGATAATGCTTCAGACACATAATGATGTGGCCCACCATGTAAAAAAAAATAATAAACAAAATGATGCACACTCTTCGAAGGGTCAGCAGAAAACATGATTTTTGTCCAGCAACATGGTTGTTATATTTCACTTGATGTTTTTTATTGAAAAACAATATAATCTGCACTTGAGGGCTTTGGAACATGCCTCCCCCTCCCCTGACTTATTCAATTTCTTAACTCCTAAAGTTGCCCATATCATATAGAACTCTTTAGTGCTTCGATTGGGTCATCAATTCTTAACGTTTTGGGAACAAAAAGACACCCGTTTCTCTCTGCTTTGCTTTGATGGTTTTTTATGCAAGCAGTCATGTTTAGTCATTTCTCCATCCCTCGAGTGCTTCCCACACAGTCGGAGAATTTGGACCATGCTTGGACACTTTGGGTTTGAGAAAAGGAATGTGACCAATACCATGGAATATTCCAATTCCCTGACATGCCGCAGGATAGAATGACAGGGCAAATTCTGTGAGGGAACTGAAAAAATCCAAGGACAAGGACAAGACCAAGGAATTCCAGGAAGGTATGAAACTTGAGGAAGTAAAACATTATTTTGGAGTACCGGTTCTAGGAAGGTAGTGTTGCTACTTTCTCCCATGCAATTTGAGACCGTAATGAAAGATGTACTTGATTAGTCATCATCGCCATTTCCCCCACTTTTGCAAGGAGCGAGAAATCTTTGATCCACAAGATCATGAAACTCGTTTATTTTGTTTTGCAAGATTTAGGACCGATGCATGGAATCACAAATTGAAGTATCTAGTAATTTTCCGGACTCTTCCAAGGACGAATGATGTAAGTGTTGGAATTTATCCCAAAAGAAGAGAGTTCGAAGGACAAAAAAATAAACAAAAATAAAAAACATAAGGGGCTTAAAAAATAAATAAATATAAGAGGCTACATACCAAATCCTATTTACAGGTAATAAAATAGCAAGTCAAATATAAACACACTGCATGCACCTTTTTAGTTCAGATGCGTGGAAGAGTCCTCGTTTCAGTTATGAAATAGCTGTTCAGCAGCATAATGCAAAGAGTATGCATGCAAAGTTATTGGATATCTCATATCCGAAAGGCAAAAGGGACCAAGGATTAAACGCTGGACAGCCAAGGATGTTCGTAAGAGAAGCAGCTATACAATCGGTGAAAAAAAACTGAACAAACTAATATCATCAGCTGCAAGTAAACATAAACACATTTGCATCCAACAAAAAATTCCCATCTGAATTGCGCCATACTAGTCACTAAGTACAAAAAATAAAAAAATTCTCATCCATTCTTTTTTTTTTTCGGAGGTAGAGGGGTGGGGATTAGCACTTTTCTGCAGAGCATTAAGTTTTCTTCCTATGTTGTTTTTCCCCCTCATAATTGGTATCCTACTAGTCAATTTTGGACAAACGATCCTAGTTAATTTTGGAGAGGGAGAAGAGAAAAGAATTTACTGTTTCCATGTTGACAATTTGATTCGAGGTAACAGGTTCTCTTGAATTCTATGAAGCAACTATATTGTGCCGCTCCAATACTTTGATTCCATTTTCAGCCCACCACTTTTCAGCTTGTTCTTCCGTGAAATGCCTCCGACTGTAAAAAGAATTTTGAGAGTATTAGTTAAGAGTGCAGGAAATCCGATTACCAGAAAAAATGGATAAAGAAAATATTCTTCAGCATCCAGCATTATTTTTAAGAAAATGCAGTAAATTTTTTCCATTTGTTTTTGGGCTACACATTATTGCTAACAAACGAGGAGGGACTCAAACATGTGTACCCCCCTCTCTGTCCTTGGCTTTGGCAGGGACTTAGGCTATCATAGCGAGCCAAAGATCAAACCGCAAACATACATATATTTCATTATATTGTTCTATACCTATTCGAAACTATTTACTTGATTGAAAGTTTGATGTCAACTACTAGAATAGAAAGTTGTGTACACTTAAGCATATGAACTAAAACTTTTGACATTTGCAAGGAACATATTAGCTTTGTCAGCCGGTTCTCATTATCATTCATTTACAAATCAAAGGGTCAAAACTATGGGTTAATTAACCCATATGCTGTTAGATTGATTCTGTAGCATCATACTACATCAGGTAGCTATGGGTTAATTAACCCAGCGGTTGACAAAACTACTTGGTAATGTCTGAATTTTCAATAGCCAATCTTTGCCGATGCATTTAGCTTAGAACAATTGTAGAAGTGAGACTTTTTTTAATGGATGAATTGAATTAATTTTCAAATAAACATTTGCCGGAGATCTAGCCAGTACATTAATTGAATGTAAGTATGTGACCATTGCAAAATAAATGGTTAATTTGACAGAAGGGATGCAAATGAATTTATTTTTAGTCAACGACATCATTTCAGAAATTTTGTTAATAAAAATTTTTAAATTGAAGGAAAGTTTATTAGGAGGATAAGGCCCATGCAAAAGGCAACACTAAGATTTATTTAGGAAGTACATACAAAGCAACATACTTTTGGTTTTATCTCTAGGGCGGACAAACGTTCAGAAGTCTATCAAAAGTACGAAATTATGTCATCACAAAGATATAGCTCTGGCAACTCCAAAAGATATAGACAGTGTTGATGACTTGTTAGGTATAAAAAAATTATTGGAACGATTTGCTAATAATCTCTTTGAGAGAGTAATGCAAGTTCACGTACTCACAAAGCTGCATGATTAAATACTAACTGACACAAGCTCTATCTAGCCCCCACGTCAACCTGCTGTGATAGTATTTCGTGTTGTTTTCATGGGGTAACAAGTTTAGATGGAGTTAGATGTATGAACTGCTGGCCCCTTAAATTCATTCAATAATAACAAAAGCGTATCAGATTTGGTAAGGCAACAGGAACCCAAAAAAAAAAAATTGGGCTTTGAACACCATCATCCATTCAAAGAGAGTGATATGGGATAGGAGGTGGCTGGAAGTACTTTGAACACTTTGATCACCATCATCCATAGTGCTTTTAGTTGAAAGTAGTGATAAAAACATTTAAAAGTCAAAAGAGGAAACCCTACAAAATAACAAAATGGTCTTGTAACCAAGCAGTGCCACTTCTCATCAAAGTGGAGATTCTGGGTTCATAAACTATTCTGTAATAGTTCTTATACTTTTGTGACAAGGAATTAATTCCAAAATTGGGCAGGAAATTTTACAATAAAACCTACTGTAATGAGAATGTGATAAAGTTTAGATATACTTAACAAATTAGACAGCAAAGGATAAATACCTGAAGCGAACTCTCTTAAGTTCATTACCACCACCTGGCATGGAGGACAAACTTATGTATACACCTGGTTCATCTTGCACCACCCACTCTGCCTTTCCACTTTGAGTTTTGGTACCGTTAGGTAATATCTGATTTGCTGCATTGCTGTTGTCTTCATTTTTGGGAGGGATAGTGTTTGTTATATGGCACTCTTCTAAGGACTGATCTAGAATACTATTAGTAGTTTCAGAATCCGAATCAGTGTCGCAGTCAGCATTATGTTCTTCAGGCAGCCTTTGCATCACTTCTTTCAACTGTAACACAATTTAGAACATCAGAGATAATTAATCACGGGCTAAAGCATGAGAAAGTTCAACTTCAACAGCAATCACCTAATCCCACTTCTCTTGATCACCACAAGTTGGAAGCAATATAATCATAGATTTATTATCACAATGTATTGAAAATTTCTTTTATTATGTACCAATTTTTCTTTTTCCTTCAATCCTTCAACAGATGAACACATGAGTGTCTGGCATTTGTTACATATTTGGCAGCAAAGACAACATTTAAATTGTATACTTTTCATCCTGTGCTTTCATTATAGCAAATTTAGAAATTTGACAAAGAGAAAATTTTGAAATTTCTGTTTCTAGAGTTCTCTTCCTTCCCTACTCTTCTTTTCTTCATATTCTCTTCATCCAAACAAGAGAACATTTCAAACGTCAAAAATTTTATTTCATTCTCTCAATCCAAACATAACGGTGGTGGTGGTGTGAAATTTTTTATACATATTGCAAAGGAACAAATTAACAAATTAATTGCATTTATGGTACACTATTGTTGAGATATATAAAACCATTAATGTGGGCTGAATTGGTTCTTTACATGGTATCAGAGTCTCGTGTCCCGGGTTCGATCCTCGCCGCCCCCCACTTTCTTTCAAGTGAAATTTCTTTGTTCGCACAGGTAGGTGGGCCTATGCATTATCCACCCTTCAAGCCCAGTGAGCTCTCGTGTGAGAGGGCGTGTTGAGATATATAAAACTATTAATGTAGCCTCACCCAACAGCTTAAGCTTTTGGGTTGAATTGATTCTTTACAACTATCATATAGTCTCCAATCAATTAATGAACAAGATCTCGTCAAGAGACTTTATTCAAAATATGATTTAAGTTGTACAGATGAACGGTCTAAGTATACGATCTCTCCAAGCTATTCATTATCAATGATTTGCTCCACAGCTTAATGTTTTAAATATTAAATTTAAGATCTACTACCTACCATGCGCATTAACCAGTTCAATATACTGCAAATGTATACAGTAGATACCGCATGATCAACTCCCCGCCAACCCCCACCCCCCTTCCCAAAAAAAATGGGTAAAAGTCGTAGCATCCACAAATTGCCTTTTATTTTTAACAAAATTTTAAAATTCTGTGTAATTGTCCCCCAACGTTTGTTATTTAACCCAAGGTCCTATATATTTCATTCATTATCATTCTTAAGATAAGGTCACCCCACATGTTTAGTTCTAGATCTGCCCCTGCAACTGCAGTTTACATAGTCCATAAACAGAATGAACAAACTTCAACCATGATTGCTAATATAGAAAATAAAAATTAGAACAGGCGAATAAAAAAACAAAAAACCCTGTTGATAGAAGAATACCCAACCTGAGCTGTCAAAGACTTTATGACCTCTTTCGCAGATTCACACTTTCCAGCTTCATCTGCAGCTACAGCAGTCACTTCCTTCAACTGCTTCGATGTTCTCTCAAGTTCAGCCTCAAGACTTTTCGACTTACGAGTAAGATCTTCAACCTAACCAGTATATTTGATCAGTTTTGACATGGGTATACTTCAATTATTTTCAACAATTAGAGTTCATAAACTAATAATCAAAATAATATTAGAAAGCTGAAAGCTATAAAACTTTTAATTCAATTATTAGATAATTTTTTAAGTTCAATTATTATGTTAATATAGGTTCTAACCTAATCCAAGCAGTGAATACAAGATAGTACATGAATGCTAACAATTGATGCAATTGGTGCCATATATGCAAACTTCTTTTACGTTAAAAAGTTCAAATGGAGCAATATATGCACAACTTTTTGATGATAAGAACTTCTTTTACTTCTTTGTTTTTTGTTGTTTCCTTTTATGTTAAGGAGGATCCTTTATCCTCCAAACTCTTTGTAATTATTGTCTTCTTGTCTTAATCAATTTCTTCTTCTATCCAAAAAGAATCGTGTAACAAATCAAATGTGCTGACTGCTGAGAGATATGGAAGTTTCTAGAAGTTGGTCAACAACTTCATCAAAAATAAATTTTCTGCAATGCATCAGTCCCAAACAGATCTAAATTATGTATGTCCAGTACATACATATGGCATGAAAAGCCCCTTGCAAACAGTTTCAGGTGGGAAAGAACATAAGCAAGAAACAGCAGTACCAAAATCATCAATAGAAGGCAAGGTTGACCACCCAAAAGGAACAAATCTATCTATAATTTCAACAGGATTAGGTAAAGGTTTTATAGAAGGATACGGAGATGAATTAGATATATTTGACCAGGCTTACCTGTGCCCTTAGACTTATAACTTCTTGACTTAGAATGCCATTTCTGTGCTTTAAATCATCATGGGTATCTTCATAAGATTGTCGTGGGCTTGACTTGGATGACACTGGAGACGTTGATTGACCAGATATTCTTGTAGCGGGTTCTGAAAGTGAAAGATGTTTCCTGGATTCCATGGAAAGAGAATTTGATGATTTTGAAGGAGCAAAAACCCCCAGCTGTAATTTTCCATTCAAAGCTGGAAAGAGATGGCTATCATGTGATTCAGGAAGCTTTGAGTGACTGCTTTCGGTTTGAACAATAGAACCAAAAGATGCAAGCCTTAATAGTGTTCCCTGTATTTTAGTGGACCTACTGTCTTGCAAACTTCCACTTCTCGAGCTAGGAGTTTGCACCAAGGACACTGATTCAGCAGCTTTCTTAAGTTTAATATAACAGTCATCACAAACCCGATACGGCTTGTTGGAATTTGGAGCAAGGGAAGCTTTTGTAGATTTCCTGCTGGTGCATGAGTTGCAAAACACAAGTCCGCAGTTGTAACAATTATGACGTTTTCTTCTGAAATTAAATGGATTACGACAACCTGAACATGCAGAATGATCAACACTAGGTATCCATTTATGAAGACATATAACAGCAGTAAAGTTTGAACCACAAACAACAGTCTTCACTTGCTTATCTTTTAAAAACTCGACAAGTGTGGGTTTATTCCTGTGACCATTGTCTCCATGACCTAATTGCCCATTCAAACCCTTTCCCCATGTGTAAACCTCTGCTTTTGAAGTCAGGACAGCAACGTGATATGAACCACATGCAATATCTTCTATGAAACTGTCAGCAATTTTATCTTCAACACGTGTAGGGACTTTCCCATCAGCTGCAGGACAGCCCAGTTGTCCGTAAGCTGTACTGCCCATTGTATATACATGTCCTGACGTTGTCAAAGCAATTGTAAGACTGTGGCCACAAGCCACTCGACAAATGTTTTCATTACTCAATGCAATTACACACTCGGGAACTAGTCTAGGTTCCCTATCAACATGTCCAAGTTGGCTTTTATCTCCATCACCCCAGGTGAACAGTTTTCCACTAGAAGAGTGTGCTGAAGATTCCACAGATTCATTTAACACCTCAACAACTGCAGCAGTGTGCCAAACACCACAGGAAACCCTGGTTGTTCTCAACCCTTTTAAAGTTTCTACTTCCCGAGGAATATTTGTGCTACTATGATCTCCATGGCCCAAGGCACCAAAAGTTCCATCGCCAAATGTAAACAACTGCCCAGCTGATGTAATAATAGCTGTGTGCCAAGGTCCACAGGACACATATGATACACGGAAACCTTCCATGTTACCACTTACTTTCTTAGGAATCCAGTGACTGACTTCATTTCCATGCCCAAGCAAGCCGGAATTGTGAATACCATCCCCCCAGGAATAAAGTTCCCCAGAATATGTAACAGCGCAAGTATGATATTCTCCACATGCTACTAACTCAATATTCATGCCACTAAGAGTGTCAATGAGTTTAGGGTGAAAAACATCCACTTCTATACCGTGTCCAAGCCTACCTCCAGACTCCTCCCCCCAACTAAATATCTCTCCCTGTTTGGAAACTAGAACAGCATGTCTGTAGCCACAACCAATACTATGAACATCTAGAACTACTTTTGATTCCAATGCCTTGGGGAGGAATGCATCAATCTTAGAACTAGATAAGGTTCCAACTCTATGCACACCACCACCAAGAATTCCATCAGTGATACCTTCCCCCCAAATATAAACGTCACCTGCAGTATCAAAATCTTCATGATAAGAACTGTGGCTGGATGAACTTACAGCACTGGATAAACTAACTCGAAATGCCTCAGATGCAGAATTTCGATTGCTTGAGTTATCCACGGACCCAGAGGATAAAGAAGAATTTGCAATTGACTCCGCTTGACTAGAACTCTTGCTTCCTTCAGTGTATGAAATTATTTCAGAGAAAGCCTTTACCCACCTATTCTGCGAAGAATTGTCAAAAGTAACTCTGTCGGTATCTCTGGGGTCCTGTTGTTACAATTAGAGTGAAAATTATAGCAATTTGTCAATGTCTAATACTTTATCTGAACAGTATAAAACAAAAGAAGATGAAAGCCATAGCTACAGACAAATGGTGCAATTGACGGAGTGGATCTTCGTGTGCCAGACTTTGGACTATCAGAACACAGACTTTCAGGTGTTGATACGAATCTCCACTTGCGATTGTTACCTCGAGTCACTAATGCCTTAAGACCGGCAAACCAGATTTCAGCTTCATCTTTATCCTTACATATCTGTACATAGATTGGCAGTGGAGTCAAAGTATGAAGTTTACAAGATATTACTTCCTCTATCTTACTCCATCGTACTACTTAAAAACTATCAGACTAGCTTTTCACAATCAGGTCAGTGAGAGAAGGAAAAAAATGATGAGATAATCTTGATTATGGGACAAGTAGGTTTAATTGGCATAACAATTATGCAGAAAGAGCACGCACCAAATCCAAGGACCTATCATTGTATATAAGAGAAAATGACTGATATTCCTTTTCAGGCCGAGGATACCGCTGAAATGTTGCCTGTATGATAACACCAAATCAAAGTTATGAGTACTAAGCAGTAAGCCAATGGAAAAAAATAAAGCACTAAAATTCAGTTATACATACATATTTTTCCAACTACGCCTACAAGAATAAAGTGCAAAATCCTTTAGGAACAAAATATTGAACTCAGACACAGGCATGTCAAAGCCATAACTGAAGTTGAAATAAAGGCACCTAGTATTAACTGGAGAAAAAAATAAAGCAACTCCCTATTAAACCCCGGTTAGCGAGGGTAGGGGTATCCGGAGAAAATAATCTCTGAGCTTTTTACAAACTTACAGTTCGCTGGCCAGGAATGATCCTTGAAACAGTGCTGAGCTTAACCTTTTTCTCTTCCTTGCCAGAGTACCATACGAGTAGAGACTCATCCTGAACCGAAAACCAAAAGCATTGAATAGAACAGAACATAACATGTTGATTTTTCTTGTTCTTTTTCTTTTAAAATTTATTAGAAAAACACCATGCTTCAGATAGAATTGATATGTGAAAATATTGGGCTCAAATAAGAAACAAATAAATAAACACATTTGAAGTATTCCTGGCAAAGGCTGAAGCTTAATAATCAAGAAATAATATAATAGAGCTTTATGTTATAACAATGCAGAAATAATGCACCTAAATAGAATGCTTTTGACGTTTTCTTCTTCTCAAGCATAGTTTTGCATGCTGTATAAGTATATATTGACTGTTTGACACCTGAAAATATTGTACTATTCGAGCCTCAAACAAGATTCAAGTGTTCCTAAACTATAGTTCACTACTGGACTATATATTTAACTACTGTTTAACTTTATTATCATGTTTTTGTTGTCATCATTTCTATTGTAGTGGCCTAAAACAAGGAACCACATTGCATGTATGCACTTGAGTCTATTTTATATCTATCTCTAAGGTAGAAGCATCAATGTTTTAATTAATAGCCTATCTATATTTATGATGATAAGTTGCTAATTATATGAAAACTTTCAAAATGGAACCATTGGCCAATGACGTTTAGGTCTAACTTAACACTTCTAAGAACACGGATTGATGAGAATCAGGTCAAAGATTCATATCTTTCCAGGACTGAGAAAACAAGTAAGGGGTCCAGACAATGAAGAAACTAATGGTTGTTGTGTTTATCACTTTCCATTAGCAAACTGTTAATGTCGTTAATATCTAATGAAATTTGTTTTGTATAAAAGAAAAGATCTAATGAATAATTTAACAAAAAAAGGAGGTAGTTTCATGTCATTTGATGGGCGAATATAAAAATTTTAGGAGAAGAAATACCATAGCAACTTACATTGGAAAGCCTAAACGGGCAGAACTTTGGCTTCCCTCTTCGTCCATACTTTAGCAGATATGAGCCTTTCTTAAGAGATGCAATTGCCTATAAAGGGAAGATAAATGTTAGGTATCTGAATAAGAAGATGATCCTGCAAAACCACGGAGCATGAGGCAAGACCTCTGCTTCCAGCTTCAACGTCTCTTTATGTCAGCAAGGAACAATCATTAGTTATTATTCATACCATTAAAAACGCATTAGTTGAGCATGAACACAACAATGAAGAACCAAGCAGGATGGTGAAGGGGACACAAGTAAGCAAATAGACAGATTTCAAGTCATGAATTTTTATATTTTTATATATTATTTTTATCTTACATTAATAATTACATAGAAGAAAAATTAAAAAAGAGCAATTACTGAACCTGCTCAATATCCCTCTCACCAAGACCAGTTTTATGAGGATCAGCCATTCAGGTTGCAATAAGAGGTGCTTCCCAGGAATGGACACAATACCCATTTCACCAACAACCCAAAAAATAACAAATACCATAAAGCAATGTCCAACCTCTCCCCATGAAAATCGAAACACCAAAACTCCAATTCAGCACTTGCAAATTGATAAAAGGAGCTGCTTTTATCTAACCCATAGCTAAGAAAGACACCTCACAGCTCAGTGACACCTTCAGTTCCATAAAACCGCAGAGAAAATTGCCTCCGGTAATCACATTCAGCTCCAGAACAGCTCAAAACGCACGGAACGTTTCTCAAAGAAACCCTAGAAATGCGTGAGAGCCTCGAATCCCAGGGAAATCTTCGAATTCCTCGGATTTTCTCTAGCAAAGCGCCTTCAACATCACAAATGTGGGACGGAACGACGCAGTGGTAATCAAAACCAGCAACATTGCGAGGAATTCTCAGAAATCATAGAAAACCGAACCATTTTCGAAGAACTCAGGGTCGTTGAAACCGCAACGAAGAAAATTTGCAGAATCAGATGTTGTGATTGGAAACAAAAAAAACTGTTGTTGAGAGACAATGCCTTTGGTTTTTCTCAGCTAGAATTCGCAAAGCTTTGAAGATTGTTGTCAACACGCAAGAGGCTCTCTCTCTTTCTCTCTCTTCTGAGAGGAGCTAACTGTTTTTTCTGCCGGTTAATGCCACGTCAGCAACTGAAATCTGTGAGAGGGGGAGGCATCGTTTTGTGGACAAATGAGTCCAATTTCGGGATTTGAAACGACATGCCTCGCTGGTGTCGCTCTCTTCAACTAAAGGGAAGGGACTGGATCAGGTGCGTCTCGGACTACGGTTAGCCTTTCTGCGACTCCCTTGAATTTGAATTTGATCAACGCGTGTTGTTTCCCAGGGTTGATCAACGCGTGTTTTAAAATCTCACCTCACCTCCTGAGTTGACCCGGGTCAACCCTGACTCATCTCTTATGAGCGTTGGGGTCATAAGTTATACCTTCTATGCACATCGACTCCCCAAAATCCGGCCGGATTTTAGTGACTCCCGGGTCAAAAGGGTCAAAGGAAATCACTGCATGTTTTTTTTTAAAAAAAAATTCCCTGAAACAATGTCGTTTTATTAAAAAAATAAAATAAAAATGCTTACAAACCTAAATCTAATTGTTCTCTTCTCTCCCAGTGACCTAGACGTCTTCAATCTTCACCTCGCTTCCGTGAATCTTCTAGAAAAGGTAAGATTTTTTTCCCATTCAAATGAAATCCTTACAACGGTTGATGAAAAACAAAAACTCATTCTTACTTCCTTTAAATTTTCCTTTGTCAGAAACCTTATCGAAAGAGGCAGAACCGGGTCACCGTAGTGACCCCATTAGAATATGAGTTTTGTACTTTGGTATCTTGATACTTTAATTATGTTGTGTAATATTGACTTGTGGTTATAATTGGTGAATTATGTTAAGTATATTTTGAATCTTTGAAGATTGGTGGTTTGTTTTTTAATATTTTCATATAGGATATATATATATAATATATATATAAAACTGGGTCAGCGTAGTGACCTCATGACCCCCGATTGAACCCGTGACCCCATAACTCCTGACCTCGGCCGGGTCGATGGCCAGGCCGGATTTTTAAACACTCGACAAAAGTAGTCACAGACTATTGTTTGACAAAGGATGGAGGAAATTTGGGTATGCACTGATACGTCATGTGAGACATAAAACATGATACGATACGATAATTCAATATATTAATTATAAATATTAAATTTTGACATATTAATATATATTTTGATATTAAATAATATTTTAATTGATATAGTGTATATTATATTTAATAATTAATAATTAAAAAATTAAAAATTAAACTTATAATATTCATTAATTTCGTAAAGAAAAATAAAATATTCTAAATATTTATATTAAACTTAATAAAATGATAATTGTAATTCAACAAATTTAATAATTAAAACTAAAATTATAATGGAATATAATCTTTGAAAAAAAAAAATTGACTCTTTATAATAGATGTTATAGTGTTGAGAAATATCAGAATATAAGAAAGTGTAAAAAAAAATAAAATTAAATATGACATGTCAGAGTTTTTTAAACTAAGTCCCTAACCAAGTTTTATTTAGCTTTATTTTCATTTCATTTGATTTTTTAGATTAAGCATAAGGCTGCCACATCGTACAAAGAGTCCTAGTAAGAGAATAGAGCATCTATTTACCCAAAAAAGAGAATAGAGCACCTGGTGTACATACTTTGATGTTAGAAAGTTGGGGAAATTATTTGTTATTTTAATTTTTATATTATTTTAAATAAAATGACCATATTTTGGTGCTTATTTTGTGATTTTTAATATGTTTTTTTATAATATTTTTCTTTCTCTCTGCTCTTAATTTCGTGAAAGAGAGAAAATATTAAAAATTATTAAATATCTATTAAAATATAATTATTTTATCAAAAATGGTATAAAATTGTATTTTTTTAAGTGATAAATAATTTTTCCACTATTTTTCGGGAAAAAATACAACTATTTGTTGTTGTAATGTACCTCGAAAACATTAGAGTTGACACGAACTAATTGTAGGGTTTCAATTTTCTCATGCAGTAGGAGAAAATTTTCTCATGTTGTAACACATTTTACGTGTGGCCCACATCTATTAAAAAAATAAAAAAGCAAAAGAAAATATTGCACAAAAATCGAAGAGTCACTAATAGGAGAAAACAATTCTTCTACGATATAAGAAAATGTTTTCCCCTAATTGTATTATTGGAAAATTTCAGTAGAAGCTTCGCTGGAGGAAAATTTCTTTGGTGCTGGAGATGCTAGGTTTCGAGGCAAACCAAGTACACAACGACATTTGAGCTTTTTTCTTCGTTAAATCCACACTTACATTTTGGTCAACAACATTTGATACAATATGTTTAAGTTATCTTTAAGGGGCGTTTGGTACAAGTGAAATTTTTTTTACCAAGAAAATGTGATTACTAGGGATCTGCAGAAAAAGTGAGTTAGATAAGAAAGTTAAAAAAAAGTTGTTTGGTTGGACACAATATTACTGAAAAAATTGAGTGAAATTCATGAATCTATGTTTTGTTGAAGATAAAATATTGATGGAAAATCAGACTGAAATTACAAAATAATCCTTTACAAAATAATCCCAATGAGAACTAATGTTGAAGTCATCAAATGATAGTTTTGACATCTCTCATGTTCACCTTTTTCACTTAGCTAGCTATTACTCAAATACCACCCTCCAAGTAGGATTTGAGCACCATATTTTTGGTCGAATTTTGCATACAAAGTGCAATTGCTAGACAAATGGGTTAGCTAGACAAATTTTTAAATAACCTCTACCAAACATGGAGATACTACTTACTCACTTTGAAATGCCTAGCAATATTTCAAGATGCCATATACCAAACGCATCCTAAATTTTTTTTAAGCATTTATTTAGTTTGAACATCTACCTTAACCCTCGTGAAATAGCTAGTACTTACCCTAAATTTTATAGTACTTTCCAAAAAAAATAAAATTAAAAATCATTTATATTTAATTTTTCTTGCATATTTTTTTTAAATAAGAATTTAATTTTGATAATTTCTACTCAGTTAAGTCTGGGTTCTTATAATTTATTTTTGCATATACTAATTCTTATATTTTTACCTATTTATATTTTGGTCTCTCATGGACCAATATCTTAATGAATAGAAATTATAAGGACAAATATCACAAAGAATACAATTAATAAGGACTAAAATTTAACTGAGTGAAAAATACAAGTACGAACTATGAATATTTAACGGTATCAAAACCGAAATGAACGAAAATATAGAAATCTAGAAAAAGGGGAATACATCGGCCCCAGGGTAAAGGAAAATAATTCTTGCTGACTAATTGGAAAGTGTGCTAGCAATCCTTTTAGTTTTTCTTTTTCTTTTATAGTGGGACCCATCAAAATTTGTTAGTGCAGGAATTTTTTATTGTTCTGTTATAGGATACATATATTTTTCTTAAAAAAATACTATATAGAGAGACCTAAACTTACATCTGAAAATTATAAATATGAAAATTTTATTTAAACTTTTATTTTTAAAAATAATTTTTAATTTTTGTCCTTAAAAAATAGAGACGGATCTTTGTTATCAATTACGAAGCCATAAAATTTAGAGTGAGGGGACCGGAAATTTAAAATTCACACTAACTTAGGCAACAAACAAAACAATATTATAGTGCGTCGATACATAGCCAGATTTAAAGAATTTTCTAAGTTTTTTTTTCATGCATGAGAAATAATATGAATAAAGAAAGACGAAACTTATGTTACATTATCTTTTTGAAGTTTGAATATAATCTAAAACAAAGGTTTGATGAACTTGAGAGTTCGATTACCTCCCTAAACTCAAGTGTGAGGAAGAATAGGCTAACTCGCTGCCAAAGTTACCTAGTCAAGAGATTCAAAACCTAGATCCAGCGTCCATGAATGAAACCAATATTACTAGAGTAAATACTCTTGGGCTTTTTTAAAAAAAAATTGTAAAAAAAATATAGGGAAAATGTGTGTTAATTTTAAAGGATATAAAATTATGTCATTTAAGATAGAGAAAAAGATAGATAAAGAGGGAAAGAGTGTGGACAAAAAAAATTAAAAGTGTGGGTTTCACTTCTTTGTGAGAGTGAAATGATAAAAGTTATGTCATACAAACATTTTTTTGCCAAAAATATATGATAATAACATTTTTAATTTTTGATTTTGTTCTAAGACCCATACTAGCTACGAGCCCATAGCTTCTAGAAGAAGCAATTAAGTAACCAGAGCTAAAGAGATAAGAGATGGAATCCTCTATCCTAAACCTAACTCTTATCCGAATTCTTCATCTACATGTACACATAACTATTTCTTTAGGGCTTATAATCCCAGCCCAGTCCTTCATTTTCATCCATAGCTTAACGTGCAGATCTGTATATACATAACATATAAAGAACCAAAATAAATAATTAAATAAAATTGAGCCTGCTTAAAATCTATCACTTTTTTGTCTAGTGATAAGCACTTCATCCTGAGTGCATGAAAAAT